TGTTATTCTGTCCGCCTATAAACTTAGTGGCATCTCTGTAGTTGTCTTACCTGTCCAGAGCAAACTGTATGGGAAAGAACAAATGAGAAGAACAAGCTCTAAGCACTGAATTAGTATTAAAGACCTTTTGATATGAATATTTATTTGGATCTTACAAGCTCAGGGTTGGATATACCTTTGTCACTGGGTGCTTACGGGAGTGCTGCAGGAGGAAGGACTGATCCATGACCTGATAGGTGGTGACCAGTGACACTCTCTGTAGCAGAACATGCTGAGTTGCCAAGGGTGTATTTTGTAGGGTGTTTTTATGACCGTTTACATACAGAATTCACAAAGCATTTTTTGTCCGGGATTTCCCCATCTGTGTTACCTGATTTAGAAAATCAGTTTACATAGTTCTTTTTTATATATAGCAGAGAGAGAGGTGAGGCTCTCTGGGCTCTTTCCCACGTATGTCTGTGGCTGAGTTTCCCCGATTAGATACCTGCCTTTGTTGTCGTTCTAGATGCTTATGGAATTACTTTGTTTCAGATAAGGAAGTAGATGTCAGTTGCCGTGTTAGCAAGAACTGAGAAATCTCAGCGTCAGTGTCCTGATCAGTTTTAATCCATAGTAGTTAATTCTGACAACTTTTATTTTGCCTGTATTTCCAAGAGAGTGAGCTTCTTTAAGCCTCAGTACCTAATTATTTATGAATATTTCATTTCACTAAATATCTCTGTAGCAGTGGCAGTTGCAGTTCTCACTGTGTGCTTTCTGTAAGATTCAGAGCTCCCAAAGCAGTTCAGTGGTGATTTGGAATGGAGCTGTAGTTATACATAGATCTCGGTCTGCCGCGCAGAGAAAATTTGGAACAGCCTGATGTTTTCTTACAGGAAAGCAGAAGTGCAGATGGCGCTAACCTTTCCGTATCTATTTTTAAATTACATCTTCTCTTCCTGCTTGTGAAAGTCCCTGGTTTAAAATACAGGATTGCGTAACGTTTGTGCTAACAGAAATCCTCCGAGAGTGCCTTGGTGTGGGCTCTGCTGTCCGGCTGGGCAACGTCCTCGCGAGAGAGACGGCTCGAGCAGGCGCAGCAGATGGGCGGCCCCTCTCCGGAAGGCTCCTGGGGCTTCTTTGGGTGCATTGCTCCCCAGAAACATCTGTGCTGAGATCCGCCAAGAACAAGCTGAGTGCCTGTAGCTTTGCTGCTGCTAAGTATAGGTGTTGCCTTTGCAACAGGGTCTTAGCTAGAATGGAATTAATGCTCTGCAGCATCCTCGGTGTTTTGATGCAGCTAGTTTGGGGTTAAAAAAATCCTCTGGCTTTGGAGTTAAAAAAAAAAAAAAAAAAAAAAGTCTTGGAGCTGGGGAAGGCTTGACAGATCTTCAGGGACATTGAAATAAGTTTTAGTTCTCTTCAGATTTTGATTGTAAATGCATATTTGGGTATACATACATTAGTGTGTACTAATTACAGTGTTCCCGGTACAACTGTTATTCTGGTAACACCTGTTTTTGTGGATATTAGGTCTTAAAGGTGTTACTCATTATAGGAATTAAAGCTTTTATGTGATGTGGAGTCTTAGTGCAATTATGTGTTTTACTGCTGAGGAGTAGATTCACACATGACCAGTAAATTTATCCGAGATCTCACCTGAAGTTTTACATATTCCTTACCAATGAGTTTTAATTTCTCTGGGAAACTGTTACTAAACCACATAGAAATCCTGCGCTTCCCATCTATTCTAGTAGTTTTTTTTCAGACTTTTCCTCTCATCCTACTCTCAGCTTTTGAAATGTGATCCTTCTGTTATTATTATTATTCAGCTTCCCCTTGTGCTGTGCGTTACCAGACCCGGGAAGCAGCGTGCCCCATGCAGCCTTTCAGCACACTGTAATCATCTTTCCTTCTCCGATTTCTTGTTCCCACTTCCTTCCTCTCGGTTGTTGTAGCTCCCAGCTTTCCTTATCTTCCCTCTCCCAGACGCAGCTCTCGGGTGATCAGTCGCTGCTCAAGGAACAGCTGTTACATAATAGCTGGAGCAGACTCAGCTCCACTTACAGCCAACCTAAGGTTAGAGTAAACAAAACAAAAAATGCTTCATCTGTGGCCTTATCTGTGTAGTCTTTTTGCTGGATTATAATCTAGGCTTTTTAGAGGGAGGTAGGCGCAGGAAGATTGAACCCGAGTGGCGTTTTGGCTTCCCCCTCACTCTCTGGTCAAGGGGTAGAAACGTGCTGGGGGACTGGAAAGGAAGTGGGCGATGGAGGCTCTCAGTGTTTTTAAAGAAGGGCCTCAATATCTGACCGTGAGGTTTTTGTTTGTTTTTGTTTCCTACCACTTGTTTCTCCGTGCTGCCACGGCCAAAGACACGGCGGTGCATCCAGGAGGAGCAGGTGGGATGACGCACTCCGCGGTCGTGCTGGGCCTTTTGCCCAGCTCCGCAGGTGAGGCCGGGAGCTGCTGCTCGTCTCTCCTCATTTCCTCTGCTTGAGCCAGCCAAGGTGCCCAGCACCTGCTTCACCAGGGCCCCAGACTGAGCGGGACAGTGTCCTGCGCCCTTGGTGCAGCCTGGGCTTTGCAGCGGGGCCTGGGCTGGCCCTGCGGGGCCGCTCGCGACGCGGAGCCGCCACAGTCTGCGCTGCCCGGAGGAAAGCAGTCAAATGCTTGGAGCATTAACATCCCATGAGGATACTGCGTGCGTGTTCAGGACACTATTTGAGGGAAGGGGAAAAAAGGTATTTATTAAAAAGAAACCTTTCTGGTTTGCTCATAACCACTGTATGTGTGTATGTGTGTGTTTTTTTTTGTTTTTTTGTTTTTTTTTTTTTTTCCTCCACTATGGCTGTTAGTCTCACCAAGGCTGTCATGGTGGAGGGATATGTGCAAGATAAAACTGCTGGAAGATGTATGACTTGGAAAACAAACAAACAAAAAAAAGTTTGTGTCTGGAAGCTTATCAGAAACACCTTCCTTCCCCCCCGCCACCCCCCCATCTCTAGATGTAAGCCTTGTCTTATCAGGAGAAACAAGCTAATTAAAATCCTTCCTCCCTAATTGGCTTCTGATTTTATGGGCTAGAAAGGAAGAATAAAATATTGTAAGAACATCTGAGGCCTTGAGCCTGGGTAGGCTGGGCAAGTGGAGCTTGCTGCAGGCTTATTGGATATCTTAATTGGCTCTCACCTTATGTATTCCTGACCTGCTTTTGTACTTTCCTTTTCCTTTCACTAATCCCTTAGTTAATGCTTTTGCAGCTTCAGTATGAACTTGCAGCATATCCCTTGCTGGGATGAGAGAGATGAATGTTAGCTTTATTTCCTTAATGCTGAATAGGAGTCCCCATCATCTGAGGGTTAGCGGTTTAGATGGCTTAAAATGACCTTGGATGTATTGCCATGGCTGCGTTTAACTGTGCTGGAGTTTAAGAACTGTATACAGAACCCAGCTTTACTTTAAAACGAGTATGGATTTGGTACCTGACAACCATTATGTGGACAGAATGGATCTCCAAGGCATTTAGTTTGCTGTTTAAGAAACAGCAGTGATGGAAAAATCAATACGGCTCATACGATGTGTATTAAAAATTTGGCTAATTAATAGGCTTTAATGCAATTATAAATGAAGGATTGCTGCCCAGCGCACATCCTCCCGTAGGGTATTCGATGCAGTTGGTACCCGAGCGCCTGACGGAGCGCTTCAGCGACGACCTGTTCATTACCGATAGCGTCTGCGGCCGTGTCGCGACGCGTGGGGACCCGCTGTGGCGCTGTGAGCAGGCGGGTCCCCGTGCTCCCGGGGGATGTCCGGGGCCATGGGGAACCCCTGCATGTTGGGCGGTTTGGCCAGGCCTGCTTCGAGGATATAGTGTCCGTCTGCGATAGTCACGTGCAAGGTGTTGAGAGAACAGAAGAACAAGAGACTCATTAAAGAGCAGGAAAACAAGCCACTGGTGGGAGATATAAATGGGTCAGGCTGCTTAGCTTGAAGCTTATTGATTCCCTGCTATAACTATATATAGATTGCGAAGTGTTCGTGGTGCGAGGCTCCTAATGTAGCTCTGTTCTTTCTCTATTTAAAAGATGTGCTTTATGTTAATGCCTATATAATGCATATCTGTAGAGGGTCAGCTCTGTGGAATTTAAAAACAATGGAGTGATATTTATGTGCTCTATTTAAGTAGCTTGTTCAAAAGATTTCACTTGTCTGGATCTGATGTGATTTATGTCACTTTTATACTTGCATCCTGAGCAGCTGCTTATCTAGCTCTCTTGGAGGAATTAATATGCTCATTAGACAAACAAGGTTCGTGGGGGTGGTATCTCTGTCCACTTCAAAATATTGTTTGCAGAAGTAAAGGAGCATTGGAAGTATTTTGCCCTGAAGAGTTGTTTAGCATCTATGTATGCCTGTCACATACTGCTTAAGGGACAAGCCTCAGTATTTTCAAGCTAGTAGCTCTTAAAGGGTTTGCTTTTTTAGGTCTTGCAGCTGTGGTGAGCACACGCGGCTTTGAACGCCCGTCGTGCTTCTGACCGGATTGGTACAAACGGGCTCCGGCCATGTTACAGAAGCCAGGCTGGCCTGTTTTGGAGATGGCTTCTGTCTGTTAATGCAGTGCAAATGCCAGATTTCATTGCTTACTAAGTTAGTTTATTCGTAGACATTCATTTATTTAGTTTAAAATTCCTCTGAGAGGTTAAATTCTCCCTTCTCTTATCAAATGCTGCGGATGGTGGAGTGGTGGTGACGCTTGCGGAGCGGGGCTTCCTGGCAAAAGGGCCTTATATAAATGGCAAGGGAAGTGTGCGCTTCTCCCATCCTCTCATTGTGCTGCTTCCTGGGAAGTCGCACAGGAGGCGCTTCCTGGATACAGGCTCTCCGGTGCACGGTGGCATTGTGCACGTCGGGGCCATCCAATCGCATCGCTCCCGATGTCCCTTCTAGTCCCTGCATAACAGGAAAGCAGCCTTGCTCGCATCCTGTTGCTCGCAGTGAGCCCGACTTTGGTGGAGACCTTTTAGCTCTATTGGAATTCAAAATGAAGGTGAGCTTAAAATATACAATAAATTTATGTGTGTGTATATATTTTCTTAAGCAAGTTTTAGTGATAGTGTTTAATCTATAGTGTTTATCCCTAAGCTATAACGTTTAACCTTTTTAAAATTTCCTCCCCTCCCTTCACTAACATTTTTTTGGATCCATTTCTGGGGTCTGCCTTCCCTGACACTGAGTAGCACCAAACAAATGCCTGTCTCTCTTGTAAATCTTTTATTTACAATTGAGATCCCTGTTTCATGACTTTGTTCATATTTTTAATGGTCTTGTCTAAAAACCACTGCAGGATGTAGGTACCCAATGATGACATTTTTAAACTCTGGCTCCTTCTTGTTCTGTAGCAGCTTGATTTTCTTTTTTTTTTCTTTTTCTTTTTTTTTTTTCCTCCAAATTGAGGTATGTTTGGGCTCATCATGGTTTTTCCTTTCAAGCCACGTTTACATACTTTACTGTCTCTTTATCAGTGTCTCTTCTCATATCCGTTTATCATAAATTATGCCATTAATACAGCTTGAATGTATCTCTGTCCACTCTGCATAAAATCAAATAATTTATTGGATTACTTTCCTCCAAGCATGTGGAACGTTTCAATATTTTTGTCATGTTTCAGGACAGGAAACCTACAGAATTTGTATTTATGAGACTCCCTCATCCCTCTACTTTTTCCTTAAAGTTTCAGCTAAATATGAATAGTCTTTAACTTAGCTTTAGCCCAGCTGGCTAAACACTAATTCTTTGACTGACTTTACGCAAGCGATGGCTGCCCGGGGCGCGTCGTGGTTCACCCGATGCTGTTTGCAGCGGTGCTGCAGCCTCGTGTGGGTTTCCTGAGCTGAGGACGTGTCTGGAGCTCGTGCTGCCAAGTTGGGGTTGTTGCTCAGTGGGACCAAAGAGGAGCTGTGGTTCGTAGCTCATAGGCAAAAATATATAGCTTGGAAGTCCAGGCGTTAATGTGTTTAAGTGCCTCAAATATACTGTGAATGTGGGAGAGGCTTTTTCTTCCATGTGGGTAATATGTGTTTCATTAAATGTTTGGCAAATCTGTTCTGCCTTTGTCTGTTGTGTGGCTACTTTAGATAAGTTTTATGCCAATACTTGGCATTTCTGCCCGTTTCAGCCAATCTCCCTTTTTTTCCCAGTCCTCCTTTCTTTCTCCTTCCTGGCCTGCTCCGATTGTTGTTTCCTGGGTGGACAGGCTGTCTGATAATGCCCCTGGGATGGGTCTGGTATCAGGAAAATAAACAGGTCCTTGTTGAGATAAAGACTGCTGTGCTGCATGAAACTCAATCTCTTTCTGTTTCTTAAGTCAATTGGAACAAGGAGCTGGGTCTTTATTGTCCTCTTTCTAATCTTGCACAAGGGAGTAAATACTGTGACTCTTTTCAGCCTGGACAGGATCTATTGCAGAGCTGTTTTCATGAGGCTTTGGATGAGTGTTTCCATTATCTCAGGCAAATATTATGGGTCACTTTTAGTGCCTGAATATCCAGATGTTTAATGTCATCACCCAGCTCCTCAAAGTACTGTATTTTCTACAAGACACTTTGAGGTTTGGATCTCTGTATCATGAATTAAAAATAATAAAAATATAAAATAACTTCTAGCCACTTCCCCCTCACATGCATACATAGATTCCAAATATCATTCTCCATTTAACTTATCCAGTAACTTTATGCTTTGTAAAATTCATTAATGTCAAGGAACTCTGTGCCCGTAGAATGTAAACAGCACGTACATTAATTTAGTACTTCTTAACAAGAAGGGTTTTTTTTGAACAATCAAGTATAGTGTCTGCAAACTATTACAGAAAAAGGAGAGCCTGCTAAGAGTAATGCAGTTCTTTCAATGCTATCCAATAACTTTTGGGCCAAAAAAACTGTGAGGAAGGTTGAATAAAGTGTAATTATCTGAAGAGAGCACTTTCCTGTGGTTTAATTGGCACTTGGTATTTTTAGCTTCTGTGTTCTTCAGTTTTTCTCACATGCAGCTGTTTCTGCATTCACTTTCTGATTTTAAAATGATTTTAAAATATAATAAAAGCCAAGCACTCATAGTTTTAGTTGTCCATAGCAGCTTCTGAAAGGACGATCACCTACATCAGGAAATAGCTTCTACAGTTGTGGCTTGCATGATAGTAATGGTGGAAATGCTTAGAATAAGTGGGGTTTTTTTGTGTATTTAATGTATGTTTTTGTTTTTGTTTTTAGACTTTCGATGCAAATGATCTTTATCAGGGACAGAATTTCAGCAAGGTTCTCAACTCTCTAGTTGCTTTAAATAAGGTGACTGCAGGTAAGTAGAATCAGCTGTTTTGATGCTCTCTTGTTCTCAACCCACATTAGTACATATTTATATGTGTTGCCATATCCATGGTAAAATGAACTTCAATAGTCTTGTAGAAGGTTTCTTCTTGCAATTAATTCTGTGCTTGCTGTTTTAGGACTTTGGGGCTTCTCAGGATTCTTTAGTCTTTTTCCTTGCAGGAGGTTTTTTTTTGTTTGTTTGTTTTGTTTGCCTTTTTTTTTTTTTTTTTTTTTTTTTTTGTAAAATTCATTAATGTCAAGGAACTCTGCCCGTAGAATGTAAACAGCACGTACATTAATTTAGTACTTCTTAACAAGAAGGGTTTTTTTTGAACAATCAAGTATAGTGTCTGCAAACTATTACAGAAAAAGGAGAGCCTGCTAAGAGTAATGCAGTTCTTTCAATGCTATCCAATAACTTTTGGGCCAAAAAAACTGTGAGGAAGGTTGAATAAAGTGTAATTATCTGAAGAGAGCACTTTCCTGTGGTTTAATTGGCACTTGGTATTTTTAGCTTCTGTGTTCTTCAGTTTTTCTCACATGCAGCTGTTTCTGCATTCACTTTCTGATTTTAAAATATAATAAAAGCCAAGCACTCATAGTTTTAGTTGTCCATAGCAGCTTCTGAAAGGACGATCACCTACATCAGGAAATAGCTTCTACAGTTGTGGCTTGCATGATAGTAATGGTGGAAATGCTTAGAATAAGTGGGGTTTTTTTGTGTATTTAATGTATGTTTTTGTTTTTGTTTTTAGACTTTCGATGCAAATGATCTTTATCAGGGACAGAATTTCAGCAAGGTTCTCAACTCTCTAGTTGCTTTAAATAAGGTGACTGCAGGTAAGTAGAATCAGCTGTTTTGATGCTCTCTTGTTCTCAACCCACATTAGTACATATTTATATGTGTTGCCATATCCATGGTAAAATGAACTTCAGTAGTCTTGTAGAAGGTTTCTTCTTGCAATTAATTCTGTGCTTGCTGTTTTAGGACTTTGGGGCTTCTCGGGATGCTTTAATCTTTTCCCTTGCAGGAGGAGGTTGTTTTTTTTTTTTTTTTTTTTTTTTTTTTTTTTTTTTGGTGACGTTTTTTAAAACATCCCAGAATGTTG